CAATGGTGTTATTTTGGACTGATGAAAGCCCTCAATAATAGACATTGGATTGACATCCACGTAACCATTCTCATTTTTCCATCTTCCCTGTTCTTGCCATACATCTGTCGGCACATGCTCACACGGGATTTGTTTTCCGACCGGTAGAAGATCGGATGAACCCGGTGATGCAAACAGTAATGTATGTTCCTTGGATAAGATGGGTGTTTCCAAGTAACAGGAACCATTAACACTATGGTTGTGATATACTACTTGTGGTTCAATGTAATGGCATGCATGTACATGTATGACATGTTCACCAACGAATCGTGCAGCTATGTCGTCCCTAGCAAGTATAGTACGCATAGCTACAGTCGGTTCAATTAACAAAATTGACCTCCACAATTCAAGGTACTTATTTTGAATCTCACATACTGTTTCAAAGGAAATCGCAAAATGTTTCCGTAAATCATCTTGGAACACGTGTGTGGCATATTGAAGATGATCTTGCGCAATATGCCGTGTTACATTATGAAGGAACATTTGATCATCAGTAAAAATTTTAGAAAAATAATTGGCTCTCGCTTGAACATCTTTTTCTTCTGCGGTGGGCTCTACTCGTTTATTAGAAATTTCTTTCGGAGCTCGCAATGTTAAAGATGATCCAGCTTTCGTCTGGTTCAACTTGATTTTCTTGGATGCAATCGTGGCCATAGAAAATCCTCTTTCTTTGAAAGTAACATTTTGTGCCGGTGTAACAAAATCATCTAATAAGGGTGGAAAGAACGACAAAATTCTGTCTTGATCATCATCACTAGGAACAAGAGTGTCCGAAGGAAAGTTGTAAGGCATCAAATAATTCGCCGAGAAGTAATGTTGCATTTTCTCGAATTCTTTAGGAAAGAAATCGTTAGGGTTAGCATGATTATGGAGACGCGCATCTTGAATAATATACTGGTCCTTAGTCGGAGCGTTTACTATTTCGCGCAACTCTTTCTGCACTTTCAATACGTGGAAGAGTATGTTGTTTATACTACTAGAAGGTTTAAGGTCACGCCTTGATGTTTTGGCTGATAAATAAACGCTCAAAACTTCATCTACTGATGG